AACAGTAAACCGGGGGTAAAATTAGAAAGGCAAAACTAAAATACTAAAGACAACAAAAAAAAGCATTACATGGATGTAAAATTGAGGAAAATATAGACGATGTTGTAATTCTACATCTATTTTTGGGTCCATGCCTAATTTTTCCAACTATTTTGACTCGGAAAGATTTCAGACCGAAGAAGCCCACATATGTGCAGATGTGGGAATGATTTGAACTGAAAGGGTCTGATTTGGGCTCAGCGTTACTTAGATTCGAAGGTTGGAACTTGGAACACGAGCAAGTGCGATCCCGAGTCCTTGTTTTTAACTCCTTGTTGATCGAGAGAGAGAGAGACAGAGTACCTTGGGAGGGGGTGTTGGATTTGTCTGGAGGCAAAAACAGGGTGAATATAGCTCTCAGGCTCAGGATCTTCACGCTCAACCACTGTGAGAACCATGGCTTCAATACCTAAAAGTCTCCTTCAACAACAAAGCCCTCCTTAACTGTCCTCGTCGAATTTCCAACTTTGTTTCGCCATTTGAATGTGCATCCTACTTTTTATTCCTCTTTTCTTTCCATGCAAGTCATGTTATTACTTGCCTCAACATCAAAGCTTCTTCTAATTCATCTCTTCACGCCTTAAAGTAACCTCTCAGGGTGGGTTACTGGGCAATAACTTCTTTGCTTTCACCTTTAGTCTTCTTATTCTTTCTTCAATGACAAGCCGTATTTAGCACTTGAGAGAGACAGACAGAGAGTTTAAAGTTAGAATTGCAATATTAGTAAAGAATAGAGCTTGCAAGTCGGAGAATAGTAATATATCGAAAAACCCCCAATTATTGGTAATAAATCGGTTTTCCTTCAAAAAGTTGGAGGTAACAAATGAGTTTAAAAAATGCGGATTACCAAAATTTAGTTAATTTAGAGAAACGTGAATATTCCGGATTTTGCTTAGAAAAACAGAGTGAAAAAAATAGATATGTAACGATAAAATTTTGTAAGATTATGAGTTGCAGTTATTAAATGTTAAAACAAGGGAAAAGTTTATACAAGGTTGCAACTTTAAATTGTAGAAATAAAGAGCATCTCAAAAACCCATCGGAAAAAAGTTGTGTTATTCTTGAAAAACCTTCTAATTGATTATCTCGACATCGTGATTTATGGAAATGAAAAAATAAAATACTTTGAATCTAAAAAAACTAATACATTTTGAAGCACATTATCTAGACCGTCCATTTTTAATATTTTAATGTGTTTAAAAATCTACTTTATTTGAACCATTTTTTAAGTTCTAAATTTTATAACTAGAAATGAAATTAGATATTTGGGCCATCTTTAAAAATTAAGATAACTTCAAGAAATGAGAAAGAGAGACTTATCTGACGGGGCCAGTTGGCCCGGGACACCTAAAGCTTGAAGCTTCACCTGTATCAAGAGCGTGGCTTCATTTTACGCTGTTTATTCTCTTCAAGAGTGACCAAGCCGTAGCTTTGGTTGAAATGGGATTGCTAGGTTTCCTAATTTAATGGTCAAATGCTGAAATTTGGGCCTCTTTTTTATGGGATTGATGATCATAGAGCTCCGAGTGTTTATCTCCAATCAAAGTGTAAATGAATTTGTTGACCAGCCCTTAAGAGTTCCGACTCAGGTCCTTTTACCTCTGAGTGGTTGGGAGAAGGTTACGAGTGATTATCCAATTGGTTAGAACTCAAAATTCGAAAAATCTGACTGTCAATGTGTGGCAACACAAACTGTGCCACATAATATATTGTTGACCAAATACAATGAACGAACACAAAATGATCCAGACAACACAAAGTGTGTCGTTTTGGGCGACACACTGTGTGTCGATTGGGCGACACATTATGTGTCGATTGGGCGACAAAGTTTCTGTCACTCTAGTCAAAGTTCAACAGAATCACGAGATTTGATTTTCGTTATCTCTCACGCAATTTTGGATAATAATTATTTTAATTTTGAAATTAAACGTAATTTTTATCCTTTTCTTTTAACACTAACATTTTTTATTATTTCGTTTTTAACATCAACAATTAAAACTATTTCCAAACACTTTCCTTTTTTTCATCACCTCTATCTCTGTCTAACTTTATTATATATATAATAGTTCAGATTAAACCAACCTTATCCAAGGGCCAAAAATATATTTATTTTTTTATTTTAAAATTTTTATTTTTATTTTTAATTTAAAACTGGTATTTAATTTAAAATTTAGTCTTCAACTTCATTTTTATAAGTAGAATTGAATAAAAATTAAAAATATTTATCAAAATAAGTTTAGGGGTATCTTGGTTTATTTTGCTATTTAAATGTTTTTTAATAATTTTTGTTTAGTTGAATTTATAAAAAAAATCACACCCTAAAATATCGATAAATATCTTATTTAAATAAAAATAAAATACAAAAGATTTCTTTAAAGAACTTCGCCTAAATCGCTATCCTTTTTAGGATTGAAACACTTTTATGTATAACACATGGCAAGATGACCGTATTAATGGGCTTTCAGGCAAACTGGCAAAGTATTCCGTGGACGGGAAGGAGCACCTCTCCAATGGCTGAGATTTCAGATGGTCATATCTATTTACTTAAGGGTTTTTATTTATTTATTCATATCTATTTACTCGGTACAAAGATTACTTAAGCGTTTTTATTTATTTATTTATTTATTTATTTATTTATTTAATTTCTCGTAGGTAAAAAGAATAGGGTGTGGTTTGTAAAGAGCCTAGGCTCTAAACAATCAAATTAGAGCTTACCTTCAAATAGTATCGAGAAATGTGGTTTCAAAACTGAAAAACTTTGTAATAGACTTAAAATCTGTGGGATTATATATAATGAGACCATTTACCTTTGATACAAGGTGGTCACAATTCCTTACAACCATTTGAAGTGAAATTTGATAGCTTGGATGTGTTACAAAGTTTGAAAAAAAAAATTTTGAGGCTTGAGCTTGGTCAATGGAATGATTGCAGTTACTCAATTGCACATCCAATGGTCATGATTAATGTGACCACCTTGTATCAAAGGTAAATGGTCTCCTTCTATATTTTTCCAAAATATATTTTTATCTTTATTTATAAAGTTTAAAGATTTAAAGATAGTGTAGATCAATAGATCTATAAAAACTTGAAAATCTTGAAATTGACAATCAAAAAATGCGTTACAAAATACACTATTTCTAAAACTTGAAATCTATTTTTTCTCATGTTCATGCATCTTGATGCCGAGATGATCAATTTGCAAATATTTGAGCCTCAAAACAATGACTTCTAATGAAAATTTTGAGGTAGGATCTAATTTGATTGTGCGAAGCCTCAGTTCTATATAAACTTTTCCCAAAAGGATGGGTTCGGTTTGCATAGAGCCTATGCTCTAAACAATCAAATTAGAGCCTACCTTCAAATAGTGTTGAGAAATGTGGTTTCAAAGCTGGAAATCTTTAAGACAGCCTTAAATTAGTCTAGTTAAAATTAATCACACCAATCTCATTTTAGCATATGGGAAAGTATAAGATTAGACTATTTACCTTTGCTGAAAGGTGGTCACTTAATCTTGACAATTAGATGTGAAATTGGGTGACTACAATTATTTGACGGACTAAACTCAAACTTCAAAAAAAAAAAAAAAAAAATCAAACTTTGTAATACATCTATGCTATCAAACTCCACATCGGATGGTTGTAATTAACTGTGACCACCTTGTATCAAAGGTAAATGATCTCATTGTGTACAATCCTTTAACATGTTGCTATTATCTTGATGGTGTAAGTATATAACATGGTCCTACGGGAGCATGCATAAAATATAAAACATTATGCGCACAATATTCGGACAAGTTTTCGTACCGGCGCTCCAAAACTTGCCCAAGTTTCTATATATAATTATATACAGTAAGAAAACTTGCCCAAGCTTATATATACAGAACTGATTTTCTTTGGTCATATTCTTGATTTCTGAGGGCTATTAAATTTTATGTTTGGGATATTCCAGATTTCTGAGAGCTATTAAATTTTAGGATTTATGTTCTGAGAGCTAATTTAATAGGGTGAGCTATTAAGGGTTAGTGTTGATGAAATTTTAGGGTTTCGGATTGTGCAAGAATGGGGGAGAATTACGGTTTGCCTCTGCTCGGTCATGGCGTCAACCTCATCGAAGGGAGGTCATGGCCGAGGTGATGAACCCTAGAAAAATTTAGAAATTCGCTCTCTTTACTTTCTTTCAGATGTTCTTGACCTATTATTTTCTTGTTTGCTTTATAAAGTGCTTAGAAGCCCTAGAATTGATTTTATTTTCATTATTCTTCTTCATTGGAGTTTTCTGTATCTTATTCTTTTTTTCTTACGGAGTGTGGAGTTCTATCTTATAATGTAAAACTATAAAAAATCCATAAGAAAAGATAGTTTTAATGTTGAAAACCCCTTTGATTGATCATCTCAACATCGACATGTATGACTATGAAAAATAAAAAGATTTTAAGTCTCATACATTTTACAACATATTATCTATACGATCCATTTTCAAGATTTCCATATGTTTGTAAATCTATTTGATTTTAATCATTTTTTAAATTTAAAATTTTATAATTAAATATAAAAATAGATTTTGAGATAATCCTAAGAACATTTTACATCAAAATTATATACCATGATAAAATTTGAAGGTGCACCTTACCTCTACACCTACGATGCATCTGTATGCAAACTGCACCCTTCTTTTAAAACTACTACCCTCCCAATAGAAAGAACCCTAAAATCTAGAGAAATCATATGGAAATGTTTTTTTGTTTTTTTTTTTTGAGGTTTTTCTCCTTCTTAAATGGGACCCTAAAATCTAGGGAAGTCATATGGAAATGTTTTTTTTTGAGATTTTTCTCCTTGTTAAATGGGACCCTAAAATCTAAGGAAATCACATGAAAATCTTTTATTGAGGTTTTTCTCTTTCTAAAATGGGTTTGGGTTTAGGTTTAGGTTTAAGATTGAGTTCTAAAATTTTGAGGTTTTTCTCTTTATTGAGTATGGCTAAAATGAGTTCTAGTCTTTCTAAAATGAGTTCTAATGGGGGTTTAGGTTTGAAATTGAGTTTTAATAGGGTTTAGGTTTGAAATGAAAATAAAACCTAATCTTTTCTAGAGTTCTTATTTTTATAAAAATAACCCTCGGGCATTTTGGCCAGATGAGGTGCTGGAATTTGTTTTGTTTTATTTTATTTTGCAAGTGTTGAGACTTTCCTTCTGGTTAGAATTGCGGTAAACTTTGTATTTCTTTCGAAGTTCTCTATGGGGTATTTATTAACACTTTCCTTTTGTACTCTGGTTAGGAATTTTGATAGAACTTCATCTGTGGATTTCTTATGTACCAGTGTTTCAAAACTCGAAGTGGGCAGGGAACTCGGCCTCAAGGAAAATTACTACCATACAGGGCCAAAAGCCTTTGAAAGTAAATAAAAAATAAAAACAAAAATAAATAAATAACTAAAATAAAATAACATAAAAAATAAAATAAAAATATCAAAGGTTAAATACAACCAAAAGCAACCAAAAAATTCCAAATAAGCTTAAATGTACATAAAATTGGATAGTTTGGGACTTTTTCATAAAGATCCAAAAGGAAAAAAGAAAGAAAGAATGAAGGAAATATGGCAAACAAAAAAACTGACCAATATTGGCATATGGCGATATAAATTATATGTAAATATTTTACACAACAACAATACCATACTT